CAACAAAGAAGGGTCAATGGAGCTTTAAAAATATTACTTATACAAGAAATAGAAAAAGAAATCATGAAATTAATTTGGAAAAATAAGAGACCCCAAATAGCCAAAGCAATCCTTATCGAGAAAAATGATGCAGGAGGCATCACATACAGGACCTTAAATTATACTACAGAGCTACAGTAACAAAAACAGCATGGTATTGGCACCAAAACAGACATGAAGACCAATGAAACAGATCAGCAGGCACAGGGATAAATACAGTTATCTCATCCTAGACAAAGGCACTCTAAATGTACATTGGAGAAAAGATAGCCTATTCAACAAATGGGTCTGGGAAAACTGGAAATCTATTGTGTAGAAGAATGAAATTGAACCTCTATATCTCTCCCTGCACAAAACTCAACTCAAAGTGGATCAAGGACCTAGGCATTTGACCAGAGACCCTGCACTTACTAGAAGAAAAAGTAGGCCAAGTATCTAACATGTTGGCTTGGGAACCAAATTCCTCAACAAGACTCCTAAAACACAAGAAGTAAAATCAATACCCAGAAAACAAATAACCCAATCAATAAATGGACTGAGGAACTGAACATATACTTCATAGCAGAAGAAATACAACTGATCAACAAATATATGGAAAAATGTTGAACTTCTCTAGCAATCAGAGAAATGCAATTAAAACTACACTGAAATTCCATCTCACTCCAGTCAGAATGGCAGTTATAAAGATACAAGTAACAATAAATGTTGGCAAGGATGTGGGGAGAATGGTACTCTCATACATTAATTGTGGGACTGCAAACTAGAGCAACCATTATGAAAAGCTGTATGAAAATTCCTCAGGAATTGGAATGGAACCACCATTTGACCAAGTTATCCCATGCCTAGGTTTATACCTTAAGGACTTAAAAATAAGCATACTACAGTGTCGCAGCCACATCAATGTTTATAGTAGCTCAACTAACAATAGCCAAGCTATGGAAACAACCTAGGTGTCCTTCAATGAATAAAGAAAATGTGAGATATATATATATATATATATATATATATATATATATATAT